ATCAACCAGTCAGAGCAACACATATTCACAGCGTACAGAAAGACAGTCGCCCATCACTTCCCCTTTTCTGTCTAAACAAAAGGAAGACTTTGACTTTAACCTATTAAAATTACATATAACAAAACAGTTATCAAGCAAGAATTATAGTTACAATATCTAGTCTATTTGTATTTTGTAAAATTAAAGAAAATATTCTATCTATCCTGTATTTGTGAGTTTAAGGTTTCATATCTAATTTATCTTTTGTCATAACCAAGGAAAATTATAACTATCTAGTCTTCAACTACATCAAAGACTCCAGAAGGATATAATATTACCTAAGTAAACAGGAAAAGCATTGTAAGTAACTTCCAAAAATCTAGGATAACAAAGACCGCTGACTGCCAGTTACCAAAAGTTCCTCTGCAATGTTGGAGCATCCATCTTCAGTTTATAGGTCTTGAGATTTTTAGTCTCTTCTCTGTGTGTCCTGTAGAATCTGGCAGTCTTCTCTGTGAAGCAGGAACTTGAAGAACCATCTTGCCTTGCAAAGTTCAGTGGTCACCTTCCTATGGGTCCTACATGTCCAGTTGATACATTTCATCAAGCAGTTCAGGCAAGAACAGTTTCTTGCCCAAATGGCTATTTTTGCCAAGAAGAAGATAAATTCCATATAGAGTGTCTTCAATGCCTATCTTTCTCTTGGAAGTAAATCAGTGCTGCCAGGAGCAAACCTGTCTCACTGTCCAGAAAGTCTAAGTTTTTAAAACATTTAAATGCCATATTCTGTAGGTCTTTGAAGTATTTAAAGATTACCTATCTAATTAAAATATATCTATGTATACATAAAAAGTTAACTAACATGACTATAAGTGTGATTATCATAGATGACTTATTATTAATCTTAATTATCTATTTAGTTACATAAACATAATACCTGAAATCAGAGTCTGTCTATCTATCTATCTATCTATCTATCTATCTATCTATCTATCTATCTATCTATCTACAAAATCAACTCTAAATGTGTATTAATAAACTAAAATCCATAGCAATATAAAACTTTTTAAAGAAGTTGCTCTTTAAAAGTATATTCAAGAATCTACCCTTATGCCTTATCATACCTATATCATATCCCCCTTTTTTCTTTAGAAAGATATTGACTATGACCAATAACAATTTGTATCCAACAACCTAAACAAAGACAAACATCCATAATCCATTTTTTTGGGGGAAATACTATGAGATATTTGTACACTGTATGAAGATGTGTTGCTGTGACCGGTGTAATAAAAAGCTGAACAGCCAATAGCTAGGCAGGAGGTATAGGCGGGACTTCTGGGCAGAGAGAGAACTCATCCTGTTGAGAAAGTGCTGCTACTGTAAGCTCATACTTATATATGCTCCTTCCAAAACTTACGTGTATGAGACTGACTTCAGAAACCTCCCCTGACTTCTCTAGACACAGGGTTTCCATAGCGCCTTGAACTTCCCTTGATATTACAACACTTATCACAGTGCCTCCCCAATGAACTGGCCAATCTCCAGGGCAAGTCCAAGGTCTAGTCACTATTTTGTGTTCATTAACTAGCAAAAATACCTTTTGAAGGCATCTGTACATTTAGTGAACACTTCATGTGTTTAAACTATTTTAGTTATGACCCCAGCATAGCCACTGCAGTGGAGACACATTCCTGACAACATATGCTGAGTATTGTAGTGGTATTTGCTCTGTCCCTGACCTTGGGCTATACTGGTGGTGCTTCTTGCCTTCCTATGTGACCTCTTAAAAGGAAAGGGAGAGGAGTCACATGTTTTAAAAGAGAGGAGAGAGGTAGCTCAGTGGTTAAGAGCACTGACTGATGTTCCAGAGGAGCAGGGGATTCAATTCCCAGGCCGTCAGGTGTCCAATCACACCAGGAAGAAGGAAGGAAGCAGACACGTGACCCTTCACCCTTTCCTTTTAAGAGGTCACATAAGAAGGCAAGAAACACCTCTTCTTTTGGGCCAAGTGGACCAAGGTCATGGGCAGAGCAAATGCCACTGCCGAGTATCTGTTATGTTCTGGATAGTAAATAGAGTCTGGAAACATTGCTTCCCACGATGGGGAACTGTAGCCACCACAGCAGCTAGACCGCAATGAAGGCAATGTTTCATTAGCCTTGTCCTGGTGACATTTTCTCAATAGTATCCCATGGTCTTTGAGAATATCCTCTTCTAATGACATGGGAAATTAGCGCCTTAGGAAAGCAGCCCCTGCTCCGATGATGGAGCCTGGGCCAGAGAGGCATGGGATATTTGACCTTGGTAGCCTCTGGATGCTGTGTTTTGCTTCTATCTTTGCTTGCTTCTTTTTTCATTAAATGATTGGAAAATTACCGTGACTTTATTCCCATAGGCTGAAAATTAGCCTGCTAAGCTGGAACCCAAATCAGATTCTGATGACTAAGAATTAATCTATTTTCGTGGAAGCATGCCTAACGGAAATCAGTGCAGCTCTCCTCTGCCACGGCAGAGCAGTCGGCTGCTGTCACCGGTGATTGATATGCAGCAGCCAAATGTGGAAATCACTCAGGTCTGAATCCCTTTGTTCTCTAACCAATATTGATCAAATTTTGTTTTTCCAGAGTACATCTGTTCACTGCTTTGCTTTTGCAAGCTAGGAAAAAAAAATCTTCATTTTGAAGGTTAAAAGATGTGTTTCAAGAGGTCTTTAAAGCCTGCTGGCGTGACTACATGGAGCTGTGATTTCTCAGTCCTGACTTGGTGATTCTGGGGTACTCCAGTTTCATTAAATGACAAGAAACTATTGTGATGTTTCAATGTAATGGTAAAAAAAAAAATCCTTCCAATTAGTTTATAATTTAACATAACATAGAAAAAGGTGGCCAAGGGTAAAACATATGATGAGCTGTAAGTCTAAAGAAGCCACCTACGCAGGTTTTTATTGATTATTTATGTAGGGGGCAGCAAGATGGCTCAGCAGGTTAGGGTATTTGCCACCAAGCTGATGACCTGAGTACGATCCCTGAGACCCATGTGGTGGAAGGAGAGAATGAGCGCCTTCAGTGGTCCTTCCCCTACGTGCATCTGCACACATAAATATATAAACACATGTATCCAGTGTTTACCTATTGAGCAGGTGCGAGCATTGTCCTCTGTGCTTTGCACAAGTGAGAACCAGAGGAGCTGCTCTCCCTGCTTCCTGAGAAACTTCAGTCTCAAGAGAGACAAATTGAGAAAGATGGCCGTGATGCACTCACTTGCAGCTGCTTTTGTGACTGGACTTAGCTTTGATTTGACAGTGCTTCCCTGCTTTGGCAAGAGACCCACTTTTGAACACAGGTCCAGGATGAACAGATGTCAGAGTTGGCCATGGTGGGAACTGATCAAGGTGGCATGTTGTGAATTGTAAAATATCTTCAGTCATGTTTTGACACCCTCTAGCTAGGATTAGGTTTTTGTTAGATAGTCTTTGTCGCTTGGGGGGATCATCATTGCCCCATGTAGCATAATTCAACTTAGACCACACACACACACACACACACACACACACACACACACACACACACAGAGAGAGAGAGAGAGAGAGAGAGAGAGAGAGAGAGAGAGAGAGAGA